TGTTGTTGTAGGAGGGTCACTGTCTTTACTATGCAAGGCTAGGCCACAGAGTTCTGGTCCCAGCACGAGATCCAGGAATTTCTGGGATGCTGTGGGCCATGTCCTGCAAGACTTGGGAAAAAAAAGAGACAGCAGTTGTTGCTAAAGTGGAAAGTGACTGAAATCTTGCAAACTACCTTCCACTTCTAGTCTCTGGTGCTCAGAAGATTTTGTCAAATTCCTGGCAAGAGGTAACCAGTGGCAGTACTTGCTTGTATCCCATTCAAAGAGACAGAAATGCCTTAAAAGTAATCTTGATTCTACTCTTGTTTAGTTAAGGGCTTGCTTGCCAGTATGGAAGGTGACTCCATACAGCCTTCTGTAGTGATCTCCCAGGAGGGAATCATTCAGTCCTGTGGTGCAGCATCCCTGCATACAGAGTTCATACTGTAGTCCTGAAACATGGGGATTCACCTCTTCAGCCTGGAAAGGGACTGGCACATCAATTGTTGAGGTAATTTTAGCCCAGTGAGCCACTTACCTTTACCTGAAGATGGAGTTTGAACCTTAGAGTTTCTTCCATTTTACTGGACCCAAGCAAAGGTCCTTCTGTCCCAGTATTCATTCTCTCTTGGGTCACACTGCTGAGCTGATAGTATTTGGTAGTCTGCAACTCTGTTCAAAAAGAGAAACTCTATCCTGTACTTGGGCAGTTAACATAATAAGCAGCAGGGCCTAAAAAGTCATTTTGCTCAGAGGTTTGAAGTCCTTTTTTTTCATCACATGTATCTGAGCATTGACCAAAACCACATGCAACATACTTGACAGTAAAACACAGCACGGGGTTGACTGGAATGCTACAGCAGTCATAGTCTCAAGTTCATACTTGGCCAAAGACAACAATATTTCTTTAAACCTATATTAAACAGGTTTATTTTTTCAGATGGTAAACGGTTACTGGTTCTCAGAACAGGCACTATGTGAAAGATACCAAAATACCTCCGGCTGTTTCACCACACAGACTTTCCAGAGTTAAATTTACCATCTGTCATATAGATAAGAAACGTGAGAAATCTGGAAAACCCCAAACTATGCTAGACTGCTGCTTTCAACTGACATTGATAGGGGACTTACTCTACCTAACAGTAACAATGTAAATATATGTATTTTTTGAGGCTCCTTTAAAAAGTCTGTCCATCTGAGCATCTCCAACAGACAAATACTTCTTTTTTTGGACCACCATTCTTTTAGTGGGCTGAAACTGAAGATACAAGAAACCAATGACAAACTGCAGTGTACTGTGATGTTTACACATCACAAGTCACTGCTGTATATTCTTTACTTCTGAGAAAGGGCTGTATAGGGAAAAGAACTTGGAAACCCATGGCAAGTGGGAAGTCTCCACGTTTCACCCATTACTCCTTGAAACCCAGAGCTGTAAACGCCCAGTGAAATCTGTAGTCCTTGTACAGGGAATCTCTTCAGGAGCCTGCATTGCAAGGAGTCGCACTGACAGGGTGCCACAGTGGTGCTTCAAGGGTGAAAACAGGAGAGCTTCATCTACTCATGCCATGAAAATCAGGAGCTTTGGACTTCTGGAAAAGATCTAGGTTCTACTTTTCACCTCTCTTTGTGAGAATGAGGGGATCAAAAAAGAATCGTATTATTTACGCCTTCAGGTAGCACGAGTCGTGGCGTTGGCACACACCTTGATGATCCAGAGCAAAAGAAGAGCAAAATCTCTCCACAGAGAATTAACTCACTTTTGGCCTGGCTTATTGGAAGGGTAAATACTGAAAATAATAAAATAATTCTGTCTTGCCCTTGTAAACAATGAGGTTGCTTGATATTTTTTATTCATTACGATCATACCCTTTATAGGGCGGGACCCTTTTTAATCTGACTGACTCATTCAGATGCTGAGCGGGTATTTTGACCTATTTTGAGTTTTGCCGAGGCTGAGAGCACGTGACATGTTTTACAGTAGCTACCGCTATTTACTTGTCATCACAGACCAAAAGAAACATCTCTGTAATTGACAACGATGCGATAATCTGCCCCAAGTATAAAAACTCATACTGAAAGTCAGAAATTAACTAAATACCAAAAATAACAGGCTTTCTGTCCCTCCAAATCTTCTTGTCAGTGTTTGTACATTTTTTTGGATCCCCTTAATACCTCCTTTAAGCTGCCCGTTCTTCTTTGACTCTTGCTACACCACATTAAAAGGCATAGCATCTGCATGCCAGCAGACATGTTCTTTTCCCCTTCCAAGCTCTCAGCAGTGTCACGTCCACTGATGTGCAGTCCTTCCCCCACTACCTGTACAGGGTGCCCCTCTGCCTGACGACATCTGTGCAGGAATAACCTGTGTGTGTGGCTGCAGGCACAGCTGTAGCAGGCCTCAGAGAGCTGACTGTGTCAAAATAGCTAAATATTCAGCAGATTCCTGGTGTGAGAAACGTTTGTCATGCCAATGAACAGGCCCACACAGATCCTTTAAGGAAGCAGTTTATTTACATTCCTGCAAGAATGGGTGACCTAAACAAGCAGGCACACCCACAGTAAGGTGAACAACGTTTATGTTCCCTATTCCCGAGGCAAAGTTCCCTCCCCTGTTTCCCCACTGGTTGGGTACTCCAGGGTTTACTGCCTATCCGATGCTTCTATTTATCCTGTAAGTTTCCCACCCCTGTTTACACATTCCATTCTAGCTGTTTACTTTTTACCTTTTAAGGTAAAATTTTGACCTTTCTTGCCACCTTCCCAATTAACAAGCCTACTGGTGTCATCCTGCCCTGAGCAGCAAGACAGAAGTGGCTTTGTTGGTCTTATCTTGGCCATCAATCCTTGGCCATGTTTGGATCCCCAGATGGAGCCCAATTTACTCCCTCAGTTTCCTGGGCCATAAAACCACTCCTGGTGTCCTTAGAATGTGCAGGTATCTCACTTATCTCAAACAAACTATATATTTCTAACAGTAGGATGGATATATATATATAAACCGAATATATATATATATATAAAAACCAAACCTGACACTGTGTTTCTAACACTAGGATGCAAAATCAACACTACATTTCATTTCTAACAAGACCAAAAGAAACATCTCTGTGCTTGACAACGATGCAATAATCTACCCCAAGTATAAAAAACTCACACTGAAAGCCAGAAATTAACTAAATACCAAAAATAACAGGCTTTCTGCCCCTCCAAATCTTCTTGTCAGCGTTCCTACATTTTTTTTTTTTTGGCTCCCCTTAACACCTCCTTTAAAGCTGCCCGTTCCTCTCCGCCTCTTGCTACACCGCACTGAGACGCGGCGGGGGCCTTCCCGCACCCTCCTGCCGGCTCCTCTGCCCCTTCCCTTCTCCCTTCCCTTCCCTTCCCTTCCCCCTTCCCTTCCC